ACCCAGAGCAGCAGCACCATCATCACCAATTTCATCACTATTCAATACCAACTCTGTCAGCGATGTATTATATTTCAAACACTCAGCCAGAGCTGTAACCCCGTCTATCGAAGAGTTACACAATGAAATCGTTTTCACAGTTGTATTTGTTTTAAGAAAGTTGCTTAAAAAGACAGCAAAAGTTTTTTCTACTTTTCTCTCTGAAATACGAAAACTTTCAATTTGAAGAGAAGCGCCATTAGCGGAACCAAATATTTCATCAACATTTTTTTTCTCCTTTTTGCATTCAATAATAAACTGTCTTATAAAAGACAGGCTTCGCTCTTCTGTCAGGTTTAACCCTGTTGCTATACTTTTCAGAAGGTTTACCGCTGTTTCCTCGCATCGTGCTGCAAGCATACCAAATGTAAACAGAAGTACTTCTCTCAGCTCATCGCGATATTTTCTGTCAGCAGCTATGCTATTCGTGTTGATTTCTTTCTTGATAAGCTGACAACTGAGATGGAATGCTGCGAAGAATTCTTGAAAAGTCTTGTGAAGAAAGCCATAACGTCTAGTTGGTCTTAGTCTGCTGCCTCCAGGCTGAACTGACAAAAATCCGAATCCAGGTAAATCGCTTGCTTTGTGTTCTCCAAGCTCCTTCTCGTCAAAATCCAAGTTGTCCTCAAGTAAACCTTTCAAAGCTATCGAACCAAGGTGTCTCAATTCGCTTTCGTAAAGTTTAACAAGGTCTTCACCGTTTTCTGGTAGTTGCTGCTTTGTTCTGTACCTTCTTAGTACACACTCCACTATTTCCATGTACAGCTTCGTTCTGCTTTCAGGAAATACACCGTTCAAATCTTCATAGACCAGGCAAAGAAGCGCAGTGTTGAGAGGATTCGTCAAAATTGCATATAACCTGTAATCAACACGTAGGTGCGCAATTAGTTGCTCGGCCAATTTTGATTTGTCTCTGAAGAACTTTCTGATGAAGGAGTTTACGTCTTCTTCAGTAAACCCCTCAATTTCTAGCAGCGTGTTGCAGTATATTCGAACTTTAACTCCCGCTTCGTGTCGTGCCGTAGCAATCACGCGACAGTTTGGCATGCGCGGCATTCGGCCTTGAATAATTTCTGAAAACATAGGTAGCTTCTCCTCAGAAACTTCATCCAATCCATCGAGTACCAGAAGAACATTAGATTGATTGTGGAGAATGAAGTCGAAGAATCTCTCTCGTTGGTCTTCACCAACTTCTCGAGGCAGAAGTTGATCTTCAATAGCCTCCCAAAGGCCAGACTCAAAATCACGACATTTGATCAAAAGCACTAATGCGAAGTTAGTGAAGCAATTTCCGCTTGCGTGTTTTCCTGAGGCCCAGTCGAAAACAACTTTCTTACAGTAAGTTGTCTTTCCCATACCAGGCTTCCCTTCAATTAATACTACTCTTGGTTCTTCACATTCTTCGTGCTTGTTGAAGATTTCAGACATCGTGACAACTCGGTCTGTTGCTGTTCCTCTCGTTTTCTTTCTGTAGATGACTTTAAGTCGGGTGTAGATGTCGTCAAAGGAGAAGTGAAAATCTTCACACCAGGGAAACGGTGCCAGCCAACCTTCCCGATTTTTGTAGAGTTGACGAATATTATCAATAATTCCAGTTGGGTCAAATCCATCTGAAAAAGAATCGGCTATTAGTTTTTGAGGCATTCTTAGCGTTACGCCACATAACGCCATGACTCTCGGAAAATTAAGCAATTACTAGATGATGTTGAGCACGATATCGTGAATTATCAACATCTAGGTCTGAGTTATCTGCTGAAGCCGATGGCTGTGGCACATAACACTGACGTGAAGTTTGATAATTCATGATATCATGCAAAAAGGGAATTCAATGATTGTTTTAATATACATTTTAAAAAATTCAAAATAAAACACTTCTCTCTGAGTGTAGAAAATTTTGAGAAAACTACACGTACACGTGCATCCTTTGTTGCTTCTTTTTATCAAGCTCTAGGCTGTTTCAACTGTCCTTTCAACTTTTCTACTTTTACCAGGGGGTTATTAGGTATTAGGAGTAAGTTGTGACTTCTTGAAATTTCTATTTCTTGCTGAAAAGGGGTCGATGGAACATTGACAAGTGCCAGTCGTTGCTTTTTTTAACGTCATTTGGTCTCTCAGTAATGAATTTGACCATGTGAACCAAACAGTACCAATAAGTCTCTCTCCCAAATAGGTTGTTTAGAATTATGAAGTGTAATGTACTAACAAACACCACTCCTTCCCCTTCTCCCTATAAATTTTTGTGGGTTGTCTTCTATATGCTCATGCTAAATCTCTTTCTTTCGTTTAGTCATTGCAATAATTATATCGCTGACTAACATTTCTGCACCAGTGTTTTGGCTATGGTAATTTACTGGAGTTAAACTATGAAATAAACTATTTACTTACTTTGCGGTAACTCGTCAATCTCTACGTCTTCAGGGTCTCCAACCAACTCTTGCAAATAGTTTCTCCTGTTACGACACAAGTGCAGGACTTCCAATATACTGACCATCATAAAAAAGACATCAACTGAGATAAAAGCTATATTTAAGTTTGATTTCTCCTTGTGATGAAGATCATTACATTGCAATGTTATTTTTGTCTGGTTGAGTGGACTTGGCGTGGCTTGACTGTTGGTCTGCAAGATCTGATTAACATCACACTTAAAAACGGAAGGCAAAAAAATTGTCTGGTAACTGCAGACCAGTCCTAACATAACACCCAGGAACAATATTCGAAAGATTACATGGATGAAGTAGGCGCAAAGAAATGTCTTTGCGTTTTTGTCCTTGTCTCCTGGTCTTTTCCGAAGGATCACAGCGCCATAAATTGCAAAGATGATCCAGCATGCACACAAAACACCGAGTGTTATGGCAACAACATTCCGAGGTTGTAACCCATGAGGCTTGGTAACATTTGAAGTGTAGCTGTTAGAGCAACATTGTCTGATAAAATCACTGGGTTTGGGATCGCAGTTGAAATTAAGTCTATCACTGGTATGATAGCTTTGTAGAGTGGCAAGAATGGAACCCAGTGATGCAGCAAACAAAATACATTGAACTCCTCCAAGAGCAGTTTGAAACTTGATAACTAGTATATAGCTATCAAACATCATTCCTTAAGGTATCAGTACCTAACAAGAAGCATAAGAAAACATGAATATGAAAGCGATCTTCGCAGTCATGAACACTACTTGAGCAATAGTGAAAATAAGACCTGAAAACAATTCAGGGCTACACGGGATGGAAATAAGACCTGAATTTTTTTTCAGGCCTTATTGTCATTACTAACCACGAACGTAAACCACTTGCCTTTTAAAACACATATTTCTTAGCTTACTCTATTTTGCGAAACAAGACGAAACAAAATAAAAAGAAACTAAGCGAGTCATATAGCAAAACTAAAGGAATAATGCTGTATATTGTTCAATAAGGTAAAGGTTGGAGGAAATGTTAAACATGATAAGAAGGATTTTGATTCATTGCCAAAAGTAAGTAATTTAAGAAGTGTTACCATTCTGCGAGATCGACTATTTTCACCCTGCAGTGACAATGTGACCTTTTCATGTCACAAAAATGAATTTAAACATTATATGTTAGCATATTACCAAACTTATCGTATGAGATGAGAATGGCTTCATCTTTCCCGCTCAGTGAAATAGTCTATTTCGCAAAATGATAATTGTCCTAAAACTACTATTTTGGGAAATTAATTTTATATGGATAGTGAAATGGGAGGTGACCAAGATCTTTGGGAATACAGTATATTATAATATTATGTCATAATACAATATTATAATATAATGTTTAAATGTATTTTTGTGACTCAAAAAGGAAGACATTGTTATTAAAAGGTGAAAATAGTTCATTCCGTAAAATTGTATCTCTCCTAAAATTAATCTTTGGCAAAATATATTTTAATATGGTTCAAGAAATAAGAGAAGGCCAAAATCTTTGGTAATAAACTAATTTGTAATGTTTTTGTGACATAAAAAAAGAGGTCATCACATTGTAACCCCAGGGGGAAAATAGTCGATTTCGCAAAATGGTACAGTATCGCTCACATATACGTTAACCGAAAAACGCGAATCAAACGCGCCAAAAATCGCATGTTATTGCGTATAAGAAAATCTTGCGCGTCAAAAAATCGCACGTGCGCGCACGACCTTGAAATATCGGCCTCATAAGTAAGTAGGAGGTAGTCCTTTTGTTTTTCTATTGTTGGCGGTTTATTGTTTCAAAGAATAGGCCACCATGTAGTAGCACTAAAATACTACACGGCTACCAACGACAAGAAAACTTGTTCGTTGCAATCGCCGTTCGAACCGACCCTCCCAATATGCTGTTACCAATGGGACTTCGTAATCGGAATATGTAAATGATTTAACATTTTCCTACGGAATTCATTTATCAAAATAGTCATTTCTCACTTCGTAATAATAATAATATTAAAATTTATAGTGCGCAAATTCCATAAAATGTTCAAATGCGCATTACAAGATTAAAAATTACCATTAAAATAGACTTACAATAATTTTAAGAAACAATTAAAAGTAAACTTAGAATGGCTAAAAAAGCTATAAAAATGCACTACGAAAAAGGTGAGTCTTAAGTTTAGCTTTAAAAATATTTACTGTTCCTGCGCTCCTAATATCCAGCGGTAGTTCGTTCCATAGTTTCGGAGCAGCACAGGTAAAGGAACGGTCCCCCAGTGTAGCTTTCGATTTAAATGATGGATGGCTAAGTAAAAGCTTATCGCTGGAATTTCTTAAATTATATTTGGAGGGGGGTCTAAGGGAAATAAGAGAGGATAGATAGGAAGGGGCTAAAAAATTAAGAATCTTAAAAGTAATTAACAATATTTTAAACTCAATTCTATATCTAATTGGTAACCAGTGTAACTTAAAAATTAAGGGCGTAATATGACAAAATTTCTGTTCTTTAAGAATAAGTCTGGCACAAGCATTCTGTACTTGTTGCAGCTTATTCAACAAGCAGTCCGGTAGTCCATATAATAGGCCATTACAATAGTCCAGGCGGCTCGTTATGAATGCATGGACAAGAGTTTCAGTTGACTGCTGTGAAAGGTACTTTCTGATCCGACGAATATTATAAATGTAGTAAAATGAAGAGGCACAAATTTTCGTGATGTGTGTTGCCATGGAAAGCCTTGAATCAAACCAGGAACCAAGATTTCTCGCAATTGGCACGGGGTGTATGTCTGAGTCGCCCACACGTATACTGATATTATCGAGCTTTCCCAGCTGTTGTGATGTGCCAATGATAAGGAATTCAGTCTTGTCGTCATTTAATTTAAGATCATTATTCAACATCCAAAGACGAATGTCTCTGATGCAGTCCTCCATACTCCTCACTACAGCAAGTTGTTCAGCTCTGTCGTTGGGACTAAATGAGATGTAAACTTGTGAGTCATCAGCGTAACAATGAATCGTGGGCAAATGATATTCAATGATCTCAAAAAGCTTGCTCGTATACAACGAAAACAATAACGGACCCAGACAGGAACCTTGAGGCACACCGCATTCTAATTTAAAAGGTTCCGATAGCGAATCGTTAATCATGATCCGTTGAGTTCTACCAGACAAATAGGACGTAAACCAGGAGAGGGCTTTCCCCTGTATACCAAATGATGACTCAAGTCGACGTAGCATGGTGTCGTGATCAACTGTGTCGAAGGCAGCACTTAAATCAAGCAGAATAAGTAGAGTAACACGTTGACTGTTCATGTTAAGGAGAATGTCATTCGTAACCTTAAGGAGTGCAGTTTCTGTGCTGTGGTTCTGTCGATAGGCGGATTGAAACACTGGGAACAGATTGTTGCCATTCAGATAATGCTGTAGCTGCTTGGCAACAACAGTCTCAACCAGCTTTGAGATAAATGCCAAATTACTCACGGGTCTGTAGTTCTTAAAAACAAGAGGTAATCCATCCTTCTTCAGCAGCGGCCGTACTAGAGCACTTTTCCAGATGCGTGGAAAATAACCAGAATCAAGCGAAAGATTTATTATTTTCGTGATCGGAGGTAGTAGCACATCGGCGAAGTCAGTGAGAAGCTTGGTTGGAATAGGATCAAGAAGACAAGATTTCTTTGATGAAGCTTTGATTAAATCAAACACCTCTGATTCGGACAGGAGAGTAAATTCTGAAAAACAGGAAGCAGTCACAGTACTGGCAGCGTCAATGGTGACAGGAAGGCGGCTCTGGTTTGCAATAGCAGACTTGATATCAGCAATTTTTTGAGCAAAGAATTTTCCAAAATCATTAGCCAACTGATAATCATTAGTCGACAGTGGGAGGCCAGGACCATTTGATAAATTCAGCAGGGACTTACTTGCTCTAAATAACCTTCTCTGGTCCGTGCTGTTCTCAGTTATGAAGTTTGTATAGTATGCACTACGGGCCTCGTTACTCAAAAACGTCACTCGATTTCTCACTGCGCGATAGGATAGTAAATCGATGTGTGCTTTAGAAGCCCTCCATTTCCTTTCAGCTTTCCTCCGTTGACGTTTAGCCGATATAATTTCATGATTCATCCATGGAACACGAGTTCTAATAGTAACATTCTTTTGCTTAACAGGAGCGTGCCGATCCAGCAGGGAACGCAATGTGTTGTTGAATAAGGCGGCAAGCTCGTCAGGATCTTCAGTATCTGTTTGAAGAAGCTCGCTGTTACAGATTTCATCCGCAAAAGCAGACTTATCAATTGATCGCAGCTTCCTAAATGAGACACGCCCAACTTTGAGAGGTGGTCGAGGTGTTTTCAATTTGAAAAGTAACGCTAGATGATCCGAAAATAGAATGTCAGGCGATGGTCGACCGCTAATAAGGTTGTCTGACGTTCGAGTAATTACCAGATCTAGTGTATGACCAAGTTCATGCGTTGGTTCTGTCACATGTTGAGTTAAAGACATTGACTCCAATAAATCCAAAAAGCGACAAGCAGCTGAATCATTGTGATCATCAACATGGATGTTAAAATCGCCAGTTAAACACAGGACGTCGTTAGAAAGGATAACAGACTCAAGGTACTCTGAAAATTCGTCAATAAAGCTGTTTACAGTCACAGGATGATTAACAGAGTACGGCGGTCGATAGATGATTGCCAGTCGAAAGCGTAGGGAGCCAGTGCAGACAAGGTATTCAGAAGATTCAAAGGAAATCCTTGAAACAGTTTCGAGCTTGGAAACATTGATGTTATCTCTGAACAAGAGGGCCGTACCTCCACCTCTACGATCACCCCTAGGGCAGTGTAACAGTTTATAGCCAGCAGGAGTTATCTCGTAGCACACAGCGGAGTCGTTGTCTGATAACCAAGTTTCAGTTATTGCAACTAGGTCAGCTTTGCATTCGTCGACATAATCAACAAACAGTGCAGATTTGTTTGAAATAGAACGAGCATTTAACGTGCACATGGTCAGCTGAGTGTTCGATGTACTCAAATGGAGATCAGATACGCGGTTTACCTGCACAACGTTGGAGCGGTGGCTGTGATGATGGCTTCGATGTTTAACTGCCCGACGATTTGTTGTAAAAGACGTAATTGGTGGACCAGGGTTCGGGCTGATGTCGCCACTAGTTGTTAAGCGAAGACTCGTTAGGTTAAAGGAAGAAACAGAGTTCGGAGTATGAGATATCCGAGCAGTGAAGTAGCGATGTGATCTTGTTGAAGATGAAAATCCAAGATGGCGGAACAAACGCATCGACGACGAGCAACTTGCACGGTATAAATCCAATTCATTAGTGGTCTTTGTAACTCCAGAATCATCAAGGGCATAAGATGGACAGAAAATGAGCGTATTTAGATAAATTAAAGAGCGACTTAAACAACAGAACAGATATAGATAAGTGGTTATGGCGGAGCCGAGAAAATTACGACTGACCGCCATTGCGCCGCCGACTGACCGCCATTGCGCCGTATCTATCTACTTCGTAGATAGATACATCCGTCGCAACGGCTTGGGAATTTCTTCAGAATAAATTTAGTCTCAGTGTATTGTAATTCGGTAGAATCAGCTAAGGCGCCCGTTTGTAACAGGTTGTCGCGTTCTGAATGCAAACCCACGTCCGAATACTCATTTCACAGCTTTTATCA